ACTAGTTGAACATGTTCTCGTGTATTTCCCAAAAGAAATTCGCCATTCTTGACTTCTAACCGGGCTCATCGGTAAATATTTAGAAGGATTAAGGCCACAATAAATATTCGAAGTCTTAAATCTCGATGGGATTTTCTGAATGTTTCCCTAGGATACTGTTCATTTGGGCAATGACGAAATTTAGAGAAAATGGACTAACAAAAAAAACAACTTCAGAATGAGTTGAAATTTCTAGGGCACATAAGGAAAGTTGGCTTGGAAATTGACACTCACAGGACATATTGAAGGTTAGATCTATAGTGGTAAACAAAGCATAAATACCAAAGGAGCTTGGGTAAATGGATGGTAGAGCATGGTTCAGGCAAGTTAAAAAAAAATGACAATTTAGAAAGTGATACAAGAGATTGCGGAGACATGACGGCAAGTTTCTTGAAGGGGCATAACACAATGAAAACCATTCTGTTCCAGTTAAGACGCGCCCTAGAATAATCTTTTTCCTTTTTTTTTTTTTTTTAAATTTTTTATTAAAAAAAATTTCCCCTGAAATTAATTTCTATGCTTGTTCATTCTAAAACGAGCTTAAAATTTAAGCTCGCTCCTGTTGAGTGCTCTTTATTGGGTCTTCATCACAATAATGAGTAGTAGATGCGATAGGAAACATTAAACTACAGAACTCAAAATTGATCGTTGCATTTAAGTATTGCATTAATATTTAAGCTTACCTTTTAAAATTTAAATAATTCTTCTATCGCCACTTAATTTAAAGGTAATTTGATATACGCAAGTCCTTACTTTCAGTACAAAACCTTTTTATTTCATGGGTGACTTTCGCTGGATTTATAAATTTCGATTATTCTCAAATTTATTTCCAAGTTATTAAAACTGTTAAAATTCATCGCTGAAAGCAATCACAGTAATGAAAATTTCGGAATCCAAAATTTTAGCATTGCGTTTCCGGATCTGGTCCGGGATAATTTTTAATTTGCTCACGGAATCAGCCCGATTCCAAAATGGTATAATATTTTGGGCTACAGACTCAAGTTGAAAAACTGTGGCACACTAACTTTCGCATTTATTCTATAGAGTTTGTATTTTTTTTTTTTTTTTAATATCTTATTAAAGTTTTGTATAACTTGTTACTTTTCTTACTCATTACTATTAATTTCCAAAAACGGAAATTACATATGACTCAACCTTATATTTCCAAATCATATAAACAAAAGGTGTCTTTCAGTGTGAAAGACTGTGGACTCAATGGATTCTATTAAATTCACGAGCCATCCATTCGTATCCCTCACCCTTAGGTAGCGAAAGTTCATATATAGTTATCAGGCTTAACCTAATACTTGCTATTTGTTATCGAATTTAGTCACAAATTTGTTTAGTTTAGCAAGGCACAAGATCAACTGGAGATGAGAAAAATGTAACAGTATAATCTATCGAGTTGGAAAGACTCTTACTTTGATAAATTAAAATTCGAAAGTTTTTATTTTATTTTACCTGACTTAGAACATAGGTCACTGATAATTTTGGCAAATTGATTAAAAAAAAAAAATCACCCCTCTATGAAAAGATTATTTTTTGCCTTTAATCCTTAACATTCTTATCTTGCGCGAAAATGGATAGTGTCGAAAATGGACATAGAATTAAAACTGCAGGAATTTTTAAACAATGTAGTAAAGTAAATCCCCCCCCCTCAAAAAAATGGACGATAAGCATCTGTTGTAAGAAGACAATATTTGGTCGTTAGCCAGTGTAACCCAATATTGAGTTACTTGACTTTGCCGTCTTCAATTCGTAAGAAAAATTATTGAATTTTTTGGTAAGGATTATAACAGAAGATAAAAAATGTAACACAAATCATTGCATTGGAATAGCGAGATATAACTTACAAATAAAAAGTATTAAGAAATGAAAGTTCAGTGTGAAATAAAATTGAACTGCTATATATCAATCCTCCGACATGGCAGTGAATGTTGGACAGTTTCCTTACAAATGAGACTTTAGACAAAAGAAACGTGGTTCAACAGAAAGATGAAAGAAATACCGTGAAGAACAAGAAGGAAATTTTAAGCAAAATGTGAACAAAAATGCAACTTATTTTATTTGAGCCGAAATTTCAGGGAAACGAAATGCGGAAATGGTCTTGGAGAATATAATACTCACAGGACATACGGAAAACAAGTGGGGCTGTAACCTACATAACCAGCTTTTGTAAATGGAAGGGAGAGTAAAAAGACAGTGTCAAAAAAGTTGCCCGCCAACGTGCTGAATGGCCAAGGCACACAGAAGATCCTACTTCAGATTTGTTGTCGTTTTTTCCAAAGATCTTCACCTTAGTTTTTTAATTTCGTTTTTCTAATTCTATTTTCACTCATCCTTTCAACTTAATGGTTTTTTTTTTGGTTTTTTTTTTGGTTTTTCGTTTCTTTCTGCCGACAACATTTTGATAAGGACGAAACCTGACGCATTTAGAAAACAAGATGTCGAGGAAATCTTTGACTGTGTGCATTAAAAAAAATTGTTAGCATTTAAATCTATTCTTTAGATCAAATCAGTTGCCAAGAAATTGGATCTTTTTAGACTAAAACAAAAATTAAGTAAAAAAAAAAAATGCTGTAATCAGAAACCCAGAAGTTCTATTAAGTTTTTAAACGAAATTAACTTAACTTTTTTTTTTCAATTTTCGATAAGACAGCAGGCGCCTCAACATTTTTCAAGATTGTTTTATTTATTATAATCATAGCGCTATAGTTCAAACGCTAAAATTATTTCTCAAGCAGTGATGTCATAGCACTCGCCAAATTTCTTCCAAAGGAAGAGTAATGACAGGTGTGTAGTTCTATTATGAATTCTAATTTGATTATATATGTAGGTACTTTTTTTTTTTTTGAATTAGCTAGATAAATGCTAGTGGAAGAATTACTATCAGTTACTTTGATGGAACTAACAAAATCAAAATGTGATTGGTAAGTGAGCAACGATGTAATGCGTTTGAGTACAAGTTAAATTGTGAATTTGTTAAAAACAATTTGATACTGTTTAAAATGATTAAATAATATTGGGTGTTTTTGCTGATGCTTTACTCTTTTTCACACGCACTCCCCCCACACACACACACACGCTCTTCTATTAGCGCGATCGCGAATCCCGGGTGTAGGGGCACCACATGTACAGAGGTACAGTAGCCGCAGTAGAAGTAGTGTTTCTTGGGCAAGATAGCCTGACAAAGCCCAACCCTCTTCAGGCCGTTTTTTTCTTTTTAGTTATGTTCTAGACGGGTTACCACCCAAGGCTATAGAATCCAATCTGTTCTGCGATTTACCCATAGTTGGTGAAGATGAGTCATAGCTTTCCCAAGGAGATTAGCGCGTATGTGAATGTAATGGATCCGACTGGAATTTGAACTCGGCTCTCCCATTCCTCAATTCGAGTCACTGTCTATTAATCTTCTATTTAATTTTATTTTAAAAGTAACTATCGCTGCACTGGATGCCTACATATTGTTCTGCCATTTTTACTATTGTCTGTGCTTAATACCTTTTTTTTTTTTTTTTTTTTTTTTTTCTCTAATAAAAAAAATATGCGATGTGAATTTATTAATAAGAATTAAAGGACAAATACTTGTTCGGACCTCTAACCGCTTTGCTTTATATTCTTGCTGTTACCACAACATTTAAGAATGAGCTTTTGAATAGGCCAGAAAACGCTTGCAATTATAAGGATTCTTAAAATAATAGTTCATTTGTATGTTTCTTTATAGACGATTATTATGTCTTTATCTCTGGGATGAGGTATTATGATTATTCGGACTGTTCTCCTCATCTTCATTGCCTATATTCACAACGTTTCGGCCGTTGTACGCCCCGGCTTTCCTCGAACCCTTCATTTCGTCCAATGACATAGATTGTTCTAGTTCTACGGGCCATGCCTCTTCCGGGTGCCTCAATTATTTCCCTTTAACTTTTGGTTCACCAAGTCCGTGGCCTGGTATTGAACTCAACTCTTTCGGTCTAGTCACTGGGTCTAACCAACGTCTTTACCCACTGGACCATGTGTCCTTGATGAAGATTATCCTTAAACAAGTTTGTTAATTATTATTGTTGTTGTTACTGAGTAAGCAGCACGCCAATAAAGTGACTCTGGGGTAGGAAACCGAAGTGACCATATGTTTATGCCAAACACATGTATGAAAGAACCTTAGCAGTTGTCGGATGAAGGCGAAATAACCTTGTCGGTTGTAGATGTAATCTCAAGACCCTTAATTAGCATTAGACACAGACGATCTGCTTCTGTTAAGAACCTTGTTAATAATTCTTCAGAACTCAGGGGATCCATATTTTCGTTGTCAAATCTACCTTGAACTAAATGCGTGTAGCTGATATTAGCACTCGCCTGAAGAGTTTGTAATATTTACATGTATTTCTGAATGCAGCACGAGTCGCTATACACAATTTATGTGGATAAACATGGAAGTAATGGCTAAGGTAAGCTATGACCGTAACGTAATTTGGGTGTTCAGTCTTTGCTGGTACTTAAGAAATAATTCTCTCAATGCTAGAATGGATCCACTCAGAAATAAGGGAGGCTATTCTGAACGCTCTTTCTTTTTTCTTTCTTTTTTTTTTTTTTTTTAAGTTGAGACTAGATTCAATAATCTGAAGCTATCCTAGTCAGCTTTGCAATATCAAAAAATTGTCCAATCCAATAATGTTTTGATTAATTCGTTTTCTTGGGCTTATCAACACTTTGCTGGTTATTTAATGCCAGGAAATATTTTTACAATTAAAGAGATTTTTTTTTTTTTTTTTTTTTTTTTTTTAAAAGATGTTTTAGTGATAGCCTTGATAATTAATCCATAGCTGGGGAGAAACAGTGGATTCATACCTTTCCCAGGAGTATTTGCGTGTAAGTGAATACAATGAACCCAACTGGAATTGGAACTCAGCTCTCAGATTAACAATTTCGAGCTATTACACCACCCACACATCCATCTTTGGAGTACCCGGTATTCCCAAGCGGTCACCCATCTAGGTACTGACAGGGCTCGACGTTGCTTAACTTCGGTGATCGTACGTGATTTTTTTTAAATAATCAGACTGTAAAGATGAAAAGAGTGTTGCGAACATGGGCCATAAGAAAGCACATGACTGGAACCATTTTTTTATATGGATCGCATGCCCATTGTGATTTAGAGGGTATTATCTGGTAAGAGAATATACAGGGATTGAGAATTTTTGCACTGGAATAAATTACCTTTGAATGGATTCAGCTTTGACCTCTTGAATGTGCAGTTCAACTTCTGAATAATTGGAACGTATCCGCTTTAGATTGAAAATTAAGGGTCGATTTTTGTTTTGATTTGTATTGATGTAGTTTAATAGCGATGAAAGATGAAACAAGTGAAGAGAATTGGCAACAATTAGTATGTTTTTAAACTATCTGGATTGTCATAGAATATAGTTTTAAAAGTACATTTCATTATGGCATCGAAAAACACCATCGGAATCTACTGTATGGTCTAGATCCCAATCACAAAATGCAATAGAGTAACCCAACTATTATACACCTGCTTGTTCTAAGGTCTCGATTCCTGTATTATCAGCGAGACACTCTCACATCCATCAAAATTTTACCTCCATCACCCTTAATGAAGAAATAAACCAAAAAATGAAAATAAAATTCAAGCATACCACGTGAATCGTCAAGCTAAAATATTTGATAGCATACCTTAAGTCAAAATCATCATCCTTATGCGTACCGTCCAAGCATATTTCACAACTAAAGAACACATTGCGAGATGTGAGCTTTACTAAAGCTGTTCGGAAATGAGATATCATAGGCTTGCGTAGAAATCAAAGTGTATTTGAATCTACCCTCACAGAAGAATTTATAATAGCCCACACTTGGTTATTGGTCTTTTGTCAAATTAAGGAGCATCCACAGCGACAGGTCTGAATAAAAATTCTGTCGGGTTAAAAATGTTTGTTTAAGCACTGTCTTTTGTCATTTCCGAGCTAAATTTTATATTAGCAATTGTCGGCATGAAAAATCACGAATAAGCTCATCTTCAGCAATCCGGAATTATATAAAATGTTGTTGACAGGATGTAGCTAATACAGATATTATAATAAATTTGATCGGAATAATAAATATAAAGCCAGATAATATTAAAATAATAATACGTAAAACCTCCTGATAATATTAAAACAGTAATACGTAAAAAGCCAGACAATATTTAAAAAGTAAAAAAAAACCGCCATGATATTAACAGTAATGGCTAATCCGATAAGAATGCGAACTATGAATTGCAGATATCAAAATGAAACAAATACAGAAGTTTAAATATCTGGGAAATGTTTTAACAGCTGACAGAAATTGTGACCTCAAAAACGGATTCAAATAAGATGACTTCCAAGACTTGAATGTATTTAGAAGCTGGAAAATTTCATTAGAAATATAAAATATAAAGATAAAGATAAAGTGCAGAACTGCTATGCAATAGGTTATCACCTCTAGTGAATTCTGGAAAATGCCCTTAAATATAAAGAGGATATTCCGGTAACAAATGCAGTTTTATATAAAGATGTTTAAAAAAAAATCCATGGACAGAGTTTATAAGTAACTAAGAAGAATTGAAGAAAATGTAAACAAAAAGGACAATTATATTCTGAAAGGTATAGTTGAAGTTTCTGGGACACATAAGGAAGAAGGGATTGTAGAATTTGACACACTCTGGAAATATCAAAGGCAAAAACACAAGGAACGACAGCGGGCCGATTACCTGATTAGCTAGTGTGAATGGGAGGCAAAAGTGGCTTCATTGACTTGAGTTTTTACGGTTTGTCAACTCTTTATGGCTTATTTAATGACCAAACAATTTTTGGGATCGTAAAAACAATATTTTACATTTGTGTGTGTGTATGGAGGGCCGAGAGAATTTCATTGACAATTTCTTTGAGAATGAAAATGATTTTTCTAGATGCAAATCCAACTATTTAACCCATAGCTAGGGGGAAGAGATGATTTATACTTTTCCCAAGAATATTAACGTGTAAGTGAACGTAACGAACCCAACTCGACTTCGACATCTGCCAGAACACGAAGTGGGAATGATAGTAGGTTGTCAACTATTATTCAGAGGTACAAAAGAAATTTGTGTCTAGCCATGAACGCCCACGTCTTGAAGAGACCGTTATAGAAGCGTATCTGCACAACTTTCCCTTTTGAATACCCAGTACCTATCCTAATATACAACCCCTATCTAGAAAATACGATTTTAAAGAACTATTACTAACAGTCCGACCAAAGATTTCCCAATTTTCTCGAAGGAGAGATGACGATGAGTGGAACCTGGAGGTTTGAATTTAGTGTATGTGTTCACTGAGACCAGCAAGGCGGAGTCAGCCCCGAGGATAGCTGGCCCTGATAATGAGTAGTCACAATGCGTGCTTAACGCATCATGCAAATGCCTGAAGGATTCGCCATGGGCAGTCTCGAATCGCAATGGTTCAATGAATGCAATTGGAAGGAAACATGGAAATTCTGTTCTTTTTAACGAGTTAGGGAAGAATTATTATTTGAAATGCATACTTTTCAATTGGTGTCGTTTTTTTTTATAATACTTTCATTTGAACACCCTATAAAATTTCAGTCTGTTCGGCAAATTTGCTTTCTCTTGTTTAAATAGTATCATTCAAATACAACGTTCTTATTATACACGACCAATAAGTTAGTAGGAAAGGATTAGTTTCTTACGTTGTATTTTATGAATCGATGTTGTAATAATTGTTACAGTACTCTTATCTTCTATATAAATAAAACGCAATGAACATATGTTCGTCTGTCCGTCCGTTTTGCGAACTGGGCAAGTCATAAGCAACCTGAAGCAACAGGTAGTAATTACTGTAGTTATATGCAATTAAAAATTAAATGAATAAACCATTTAAAGTTAAATTTAGATATTAGTGAAGAGTTAAAAAAAACAATTCTTTAAAGTTTACCTTCAATTTCGATTTCCATCGCAATTGCCATTGATATAGTCTTATTAAATCGTAATTAAAATCTTATCAAGGACACGGTACGTTGTTCACATATTTTTTGTAGTCCACTTAATGTGACGTATTCGATATATTAAGTACTTCGGATTCCCTAGTGTCATTCAAGTGTGAGTTATAAATATATATTATAAATATATATATATATATATATATATATATATATAATCAAGGAAAATATACTGAAAAAAACAAACCAATCCTAATATGCGATTATACTGTTTTAATGTTTAATGTCAACGTCGGACGTTTCGGTCTAATAGACCATCTTCAGGACATATTCATTAAAACAGCATAATCGCATATTAGGATTTTTGTTTCTTTTTTTTTCAGTATATTTTTCTTCATACTGTCGGATCTATATCCATATATTTGCTTACATATATTTTATATATAATTGCCACACGTGATAAACTTCAACAATCATGTAGCTTTTAATACATGAGCGACGAGGCAGAATAATTTTTTCACGCAGTAGGTTGATATTTTTTTGCGGTAGACTGGTTGCCAACCAAGTCTAAACAGCCTATAACTGAGAGAGAAGAGATGAATGTATACCCTTTTTCAAGGGTATTTGATTATAAGCATAAATATAAACTAAACCCACTATGCGAAGCTTAGAACGACTCGTGATCAAATATAGACGATATTCGTTATATTTAACAAATATATATCCACTATTTCTTCAGAAATTGCTTTGTTTACGTTTCAGATGCGAAACTGAGCAGATATGAATTTTGGGAATCAACGTGACCCTTGCCTAATGTGTTACTCTTTGTTAAAAGCACGTTGGATCTAACTAGGGTTTCTCTTGCTAAGTCGGTCGCAGGTACTAATCCTACCGGAGGGTGACTTTTTTCTCTCTCAGACTTCTCAAAAATGTTTTACCTGGTAGAAAAAATAAATATGAATATGGGTGCCCACTAAAAGTAATGTTTAAAGTGATAAATATGTATATGCGGTTGTATCTGCCATAAAGCTCTCGTTATAAATTCCAGCCAGTTCCTTTTTATGTGACGTGCACGTCATTTCATGTTTAAAGCATCATCTGCATTGAGGTAATTTACAAGATATTTATTTGCATTGCCCACCACGCCTGTTAGGATATTACATCAGTTAGCTGAATTCACTAATCAGAATTTCTCCTTGTTTATAAGAATTTCTTTTCTTTATCCAGTTGTTCTAACAGTTTCGATTGTCAATTACCAAACGATTTCATTTTTTTTTTTTTTTTTTTTCAACGACATTCTTTATAGCATTTATATCTGATAAAATCATTCGTTTGCTTTCTGTAAGTCACTGATCTCTCTTTGCTTGCATAGTTTATAGAAATTCCTGTGATTGCAGTCTCCTCAACACATAGTGGACATACATCGTGACTGAATTATGCAAACGATGTTGTTACTTAACACTTGGATAGACGTAGAATTAGAAAAAAATAATTAAATTTTCTAACATGAAATATTTATTCGTTTGCGAAAAGTTAGCATATTCTTATGGATTTTTTAGAAAATTAATATCACGTAATTATTTTAAAATATAAAAAAGTCCTTTTTAAAAACGTAAAATAATATTTTGTTTTGTTTCCCTTAAATTAATTTAAAAGATTTAATTAATTTTTTGAACGCTTTCGGAAAATGGCGAAGAGAAATTAACCAAATAAGGAAAGTCTTTATTTTTTTTTTTTTTTTTTTAATTTTGTCATTTCTATCAGCAAAATAAACCTTCCCTTCAGAACTAACACTTATGACAGTGGACACGTCTTATTAGTTATTGAATAAGTGAAAATTAGTAAAAATGAAGATTTAAGAAAATGAATTCTATTGTGATACGCGACATTTTTTTTCTAAAATTTCTACAGGCGCTAATGGGTGCTAATTAACGCCGAAGGCTACCAGTTGAAATAATAGCTTCAAAGTGATTGAATTGTATGAAGCTGTTAAGTTCATTACGGTTTTAACATGCCAGCATATAAGGGCCTCGTTTTTTCTTTCTAACAATTTTAATAATACAACAGCAAATCT